ATAAAGCCCTGTTGCTGATGCATTATATGGTCCATGGCACATAATTGTTTCCACCTTAGTGGATATATGCCTGGGAGCACTCTATATCTTAATGCCAATACCGATGGGCACAGTTTAGGTTTCATATTCTGTCCCTGGTTCCCATAAATTCAAGGGTCACCATACTTAAGATTTACTTCCCAGGCTTGTCAAATTTTCCGCAGTTACCTTTATCCAAATGTTCTTTTAGTAGCCATATTTCACTTTTGCATTGAAATGGCAACTCAACCAAACAAAGGAATTCAGATGAGAAATGTCCTTGGCACATATAACAATATGAGATGTGAATTAAATGGGAGGAAAAAATCCTCCCCATTGTGGATCTGAGCATGGAAGATAATGGAGTTGTGATTTAGTCCATGAAAATTGTTAGACAAAGTGAGCTGACCTTTAGCTTCACTTACTGCTGAGACAAAATGAGAACATAAATAAAAATTAACTTCTTTTACCATTTTGTGAGAGTTTATAATTCATTGGTTTTACATTTATGTGTATAATGTTTATCTAGCTCTATAAAAATGTGCATTATTGCTAAAAGCTCAAGGGATTCCTGTACGTAAATAGAAACTCAGAGAAACACTGAGTTGAAGTTACATATTTTTTTTTTTTCTCTAGAGAAGAGGTTTCTAATCCTAATACAGTGGTTCCTTTAAAAAATATATTAGCCCCATTTGATCCAATTTCTTACACTTGTCTAGCAATTTTGTTAAAGCCATTCAGGCAAACCAGCATCTTTGAGTGATTCTAGAACTGAGGGATAGTCTTTCAATTGTTTTGCTTCATTCTTTGTAATTCAAATGAACGCCAATATTGCTAAGCAATAAATAGGTAAATCCATAAATTTAAGCACTTAGCGTACATCTATTTATACTTGTACATATGACATCACAAAAATGTATGGGCAGATGTGTACAGCGTATGAGCAAGTAATTTCTATTTTACTTATCTACTTACACTGAGATCAGTAGAAAGCACTATGCCCACATTGCTACAGAAGTGACTTAGTTTCAGTTCATTGAGTATTTTCTAAGAGTAACACAGGTCTAAGCAATAGAATATGTTACTAAAGGATATGTAAAGGATATGTATGCTCTCTCGTGTTGGAAACTTTTAAAGAATATACTTGAAGACTAAACATCTATTTGTAAAGATCTAATGGGTGCCTTTCTAGAGTGAATACAGTAAAATAGATGACCCTTGGCAGTTCTTAGATTTGATGTAAGAACCATGATCAAGCAAAATGTAAACAACGACCAACTCTTAAATAACTTGTTTCAAATCAATAATACTTTCCAATACATACTCTTGTTTAGTATTTGCAATTCTTTAAGGGGTGGGTATTATTTCTTCGACAGACATTTAGACACGTATTTCTTGGAAAAGAATCCATCTCTCTTAAATGTCTTTTGTATTACTCCTTTGTGAGGGCCATCATTAAAAAATAACATGGACTGGTGGCTTAAACAATAATTTATTTTCTCACCATTCTGGAGGCCAGAAGTTCAAGACCAAGGTACCGGCAAGGATCGGTCTCTTGTGAGCCCCCTGTCCTTGGCTTGCAGATGAACGCCTTGTTCCTGCGTCCTCATGTGGTCTCTCCTCTGTTGTACACATGCCTGGTGTTTTGCTGTGTCCAAATGTCCTCTTCTCATAAGGGTACCCATCATATTGGAATAGAGCAACCTTAATAGACTCATTGTAACTTAACGTCTATTTAAAGTCACTATCCAGATATGGGCACATTCTGATATAGTAGGTGGGGCATAGGGCTTCAACATGGATTTCAGGGGACACTATTCAGCCTGTAACATCTTCTGTTTATATTTGGCATATCCAGATAGTTGATACATATTTGTTATATAGTAAATTAATTACCAATGAATGAATGCATTGATGGCTATCATTAACTGTAAGCTAAATATTAGCTGAATCACAAACTTGCTCCGATAAATTATCAAAATTATCTATAATCATTATTTGGATACAAAGGACACTTTTAGTGGCATTTTTTAAATAGTTGTCTTAAATAGGTTGCCTGTATACCCAAAAGAGTGTTTACAGCAATCCCTCCCTCCCTCCCTTATCCATGGTTTTGCTCTCCTTGGCTTCAATTACTGGCAATCAGCCATGGTTAGAAAATATTAAATGAAAAATTCCAGAAATAATTCATAAATTCTAAATTGCATGCCGTTTTGAGTAGCATTATGAAATCTTGTGCCATCCCACCTATGTCCCACCCAGGACTGAATCACCCCTTCGTCCAGCGTCTTCATGCTGTCAATGCTACCCGCCCATTACTTATTACCTGTCTGGGTTCTTAGATTCACTGTCATGATCCCGCAGTGCTTGTGTTCAAGTCACCCTTGTTTTACGTAGTCATGGCCCCAAAGTGCAAGAGTAGTTATGTTGGCAATTCACATATGCTAAAGGAAAACTGTAAAGGGTTTTTCTTTATGTGAAAAGGTGACAATTCCCAACTTAATAAGGCAAAAAAAATCATTTGCTGGGGTGGCTCAAAATCTGTGGTAAGAACAAATCTGTGAAATTGTGAAGAAAGAAAAATAAATTCATAAATACTATGTATAGGGTTTTGTAGTGGCTGCAGTTTTAGGCACCCACCTGAGGATTTTGGAGCATATCCCATGCGGATAAAGGAGAACTACCATATTAGCTTTTTGTGACTCATTCAGTGAACACAACTACAATATTACATGCATCACATTAATACATCTCAGAGTTTCAATAAATGTGAAAATCTTATGCAACCTGGAATAGGAGATCTTTATTTGGATTTGTATTCCCACTAAAATCAATTATGCATTTCTACCTATGGGGTTACAGGCTTAAAATACTGCTTCAGTGGACACCATATGTCTTGTAGTACTAGAGAGAAGATGCTGTATGTACTTGGAAGTCTCTATTTTGTTTGTGAATACGATGCTATAGCTTGAGTTTACCCCTTCTTCCATTGACTGTCGTCTTCACTAGAGTTGATGGGCCACAATAAATTTCCCACATTTTGACTTTTAAGATCTGCATCATCACATCAGGCAGATGGTGTAGTTTATACTTAAGAGATAAGATTTTCTCCATTTGAAGCTTTTTTCTGCCACAACTAATCTATTAACCATTTTGTTACTTGCCATTTTACCTGACATGTACTGACAGGGTCACTAGGAAGTTCACTAAAGAAATTCAAGTATGTTTTAGAAAAAACCTACATATACGCATTGGTAATAATTAGATGGTTGAAGTTATTGAATTCATTGATTTAAGGTTGGCACATTTCCTGTGGGTGTCTCACATCACTGAGAGCTATGGCTTTTATTGTAAACATAATTCAAAATAAGTTGAGTAGAAAGTGAAACTACAAAAAATAAAAACCAGTTACATTATGCTGAAAGCAATAACATTGATATTTATGAAGAAAAACTGAAAACTCACTTATGACTGAGCTGCATATAAGTACATGATGATTTTAATACTGTACGAAAATGTTGACTGCCTTCTGTTTATGCGTGTATATTTTTTAAGTGGTGGTAGATGAAACAATTTAAGAAACGTGACTCTCCAAGTCACTTAGAAATAGGTGGATTAGGGCCAGGTGCAGTGGCTCATGCCTGTAATCCCAGCACTTTGGGAGGCCGAGGCAGGTGGATCACCTGAGGTCAGAAGTTCGAGACCAGCCTGGCCAAGATGGCGAAACCCCGTCTCTACTAAAAATACAAAAATTAGTCGGACATGGTGGCAGACGCCTGTAATCTCAGCTATTGGGGAGGCTGAGGCAGGAGAATTGCCTGAACCCAGGAGGTGGAGGTTGCAGTGAGCTGAGATAGTGCCATTGCACTCCAGCCTGGGTGACAAGAGCAAAACTCTGTCTCCAAAAAAAAAAAAAAAAAAAAAAAAAAAAAAAATCGGTTATTTTCATGATGCTAATTTCATTTGCATTGTTTAAATCATGTGTTAATATCCTCTAGATGGGTTAATATACATAGTATCAAGTAGCATAGAAGTTATGAGATTTATCTTAGACAATAGATTTTTCAAAAATATGAGTTATAAACATTTTTCTAGGTCTAATTCTATATAAAATAAAGCATGTCAGTATTTTATGATTTCTAGCTTTAAAGGTCCAACATACATGGGAAAATAAGTTTCTTATTTATGTGAAAAAGTCACAAAAAGTTGAAATTTTAGGCTATAAAGTGCATCATAATGAGGTTGAGCTAAATGCCATTTTTTAAATGCTTCCTTTGCATAGAAAGCGTCACAATACGTGTTTTCCTTCCAAAAATCATTGGTAGTTGGTTTATGTTACATATGAAAACAGTGTGTGTTCTTAGACATTAGTGACACATTAATGATGTAGTAGTTTTTACTCGGAGATAAGTTTTCTCACTAGAGTAGTTTAAAAACAGAAAATTTTAATAATTTTGTAATAATTGAGAAAATTGAAATATCTACATATGAATAGAGCTTAAGTTACTAATAATTTTCTTCTGCAATCCAAACGGTAGGCAATTCTCATTATGCAAGATTGCTTCAATTAAGAGTCTTTTGAGGCATTCTATTTAGTACTCAGATTTTTATTCTTTGGGGTGTATTTTCAAACCTAGGGAAGATACACCTTTTACTTGTTCTCATTGCAAAATCCTCTCTAATTCTGTATGTATGTCTTTGTTATCTTACATTTGCTATGGAGCCATGTTATATAGTGATATAATAACCACTTCATATTGTTTGTATCTTTGCTTTTCTATGAAGGGTACAAGACTTGGTCAGATAAAGACAAAGTCACACCCCTTATTTAAATGTAAGCAGATCAGGAAGAGTGTCCTTTCCAACTTCTAGCATACATAGGAGACTCAAATTAGATACTTTGGTGGATTATTCATGCCATTTTTAATAAAACGTAGTTACCAATTGTTTACTGATGCTGTGGTTGATTGTCTCTTACCCAGGTATTGGGAGATCGATGGGCAAACATCTGCAGGTGGACAGAAGACCGCTGGGTTCTTTTACAAGACATCCTTCTCAAATGGCAACGTCTTACTGAAGAACAGGTGAGTCATGTGTGAGAAACTAGCTGTAAAAGGCATGGGGGGGGGGATAATAAATTGGAAAAGTAAAGATTTGTGTTTATTTATTCCTTGGAATTCTTTAATGTCTTGCAGTGCCTTTTTAGTGCATGGCTTTCAGAAAAAGAAGATGTGGTGAACAGGATTCACACAACTGGCTTTAAGGATCAAAATGAAATGTTATCAAGTCTTCAAAAACTGGCCGTATGTAATTTCTAGCTTTCAGTAGTCTTATAACCCAGTAGTGTATATTATCACTATTATTTAGTCTCTTCTTTGATATGGAATATTAAATGTTTATTTTTGCTTGGATCATAGATTATTCAAAAATGTCATATTGCTACTTTTCTGAATTAAAATGGGAAAAATCTCTAGCTGGATTTTCAACTTTGTTTTTCAAACAAAGTTGTACTATTGATAAAACACAGCATACCAGAATAAGACTTCAATTAAAGTTAATAAAGTAATACTAAGAAACGTTTGTGAGCCTTTCATAAAGTTCTAAGCAGCATAGTTATAAAAAAAGAGACTAAAGTTGATTCTCAGAATAATATGTGAGAGATACTAAGTGACGATTATCCTCACATTGATGGAGTTTAACCTTAGTTTATTATAAAGGGATACCTGAGACTAAGTTATTTATAAAATAAAGAGGTTTAACTGGCTCATGGTTCTGAAGGCTGTACAAGAAGCATGACACCAGCATCTGCTCCTGGTAAGGGCCTCAGGAAGCTTACAATCATGGCAGAAGGAGAAGGGGAGCCAGTGTATATCACATGGCAAGAGTGGAAACAAAAGAGATAAGGGGAATGTCCCAGACTCTTAAACAACCAGATTTCGTGTGAACTAATACTGAATGAGAACTGACTCATCACGAAAGGGGTGGTGCTAAGCCAATCATGAGACATCCGCCCTCATGATCCAATCATCTCCCACCAGACCCTACCTCCAACACTGGGAATCACCTTTCAACATGAGATTTGGAGAAGACAGAGATCCAAACAATACCACCTACTTTTTCAAACAAAAAACATTAAAGCCAATCAAATGGCATTGATTATAAATGCCTCAAGTTTTGAGAAATGAGATTTCTTTGCAGTAAATGGACTTCAGAAAAGGCTTCATTGAAACATTTGGTTTCTGCAGGAATTTCCAAGATTAAAAAAAAAAATACGGCCGGGCGCGGTGGCTCAAGCCTGTAATCCCAGCACTTTGGGAGGCCGAGACGGGCGGATCACGAGGTCAGGAGATTGAGACCATCCTGGCTAACATGGTGAAACCCCGTCTGTACTAAAAAAAAATACAAAAAAACTAGTGGGGCGAAGTGGCGGGTGCCTGTAGTCCCAGCTACTCGGGAGGCTGAGGCAGGAGAATGGAGTAAACCCAGGAGGCGGTTTGCAGTGAGCTGAGATCCAGTCACTGCACTCCAGCCTGGGCGACAGAGAGAGACTCCGTCTCAAAAAAGTAAATAAATAAATAAAATAAAAATACTTCAAAGTTTCTCTTACTCTGTGAATTTTATCATTTCTAGTAAAAGAGGCCAGTCTGATACTGTGAGCTTAATTTTTCAAGTGAAATATTCTGTATTAGGATTTCTTAAAATTTTTGATAGATTTGATTAAATGTTCGCTTGATATGAACTTTTATAAAGCAAAATGATTGTAAGTAGTGTTTCATAATTTCACCTGAGTGAATCAATTTATATCTGTATTCATATTATATATTGTACTTCATAATAATGAAATCATTTCTAAACTTAAGTAAATTTTTCCACTTATTTTAAATACGTACCATTTTACCGGATATTTGTTTCATACATTTTTTTTTTTTTTTGCTCCATAAATGCTAACCTGCATTGGTCTTTTAATTTAAAATAGATTCACTTATGTATTACTTGTTATTACAAGTTAGCTTATTATTGATAAGAAATTATTTCTCAATGAATATAGACTTTATTAAGTGATGTGACTACCAAAAATAGAGTTCAGAAAAGTAACCTGTATAAATTTCAAAACACAAGTGCAAAAATATCAGCTATATTTGTAGTTTTGGCCTGCAGCTGATGGGACGCCATTGAGAGTTTGCAAAAGAATCATATTTGCATTTTTGTAATACTTTTTGGTAGGAAGATGTTTGACAGTATGAGGATTAATCAGAAGACCTGAACTAAGTAGCATTGGGTATTAAGATAAGGAGAGAAATATTAGAATGTTAAGATGTGATGAATGAAACTTGTGATAAGAGGCAGAAGTTCGAAATGGTTCCTAGACATTTCATTTGAGTGACTGGAGGGTTACTAGCCCTAATAGGAGAATAGAAGAGGAATTGGTGGAATGACAAGAATGATAATTATTTCAGATTTGGATATATTCAGTGTAAAATGTCCTTGAGACATCCAAGTTAAAAATCCTTTCCATTAGTCAGACTACACAACTAGAATCTCAGAAAAGGGTTCATGACTAGTTATTGATTCAGAAGCAATCAAAATGCTTCTGAGGGATTGTGTAGAGTGACACATTAAGTGAAATGAATAGATTCCAGGGGGAATGTCTACAGTCAAGGAGGAGACAGAGGACAAGATGTTAACCAAAAGATTGAGCAAATACCACAAGGGGAAAGTAGTATCACAAAAATGAGGAGAGTAAATACTTCAAAAAAGTAGGAAGTGATATACGCTGTCACATGCCACAGAGGGGAGAGGATAAATTGCTGATGGATTCTATCATATCTAGAGGAATGGATGCATGGATTACATCTCCTTAAAGCAGAATATACCTTACAAACATTGTTCTTCTCAGGCAAAATATGAATCCTTGCAGTAAATGAGTGAGTGACCACTGATTATCAAAATGCAGTCATGCCCTCTGATTAGGAGCCAAGATATATTGCTAGTTAAATACAGAACCATGTGCTTCAGACAGTCAATCATAACGGTGATGGTCAATCATATTCTGTGGGTTGAAAAAGTCACAAGCCTGCCCAGATTCAAGGAAAAAGAATTAGGTTTCATTTCCTCCTGGAGAAGCACCAAGATCAAGTTAATAGCAAAGCATCTGAGATGAGGATATTTTACAGCCCTCTTTGGAAAGTACCACATGCCAGAATAGTACAGTTATTTTACATGATGATAAATTCCAAATCTCAATATCTAGTGAAAGTTCCTACATATATTGTTGACTAGATTTACCAATCAAGAGAGTTGTTCTTAGGAAGCCACAAACTGAAAAAATCCAAATATGTTAAAGCTAGATGAGATTTTGCATCTCATCTAGTGTTTCTTCAGTCTAATTGCACATCTAAAGTTCATTAGGAACAGCTACTCAGGTTATTTCCAAAAGAAAATCGAGATCAAGAAAAAACACAGGGCCTGTATCCTACAACATTAGTATCAGACTTAAAATGAACACTAAGACATTCAGACTCAGGTCCAGGTCTTTCAGTCTATTTCAGTACTCCTCATGTCAGTTGATTCCTTGGAAAAAATAACTGCAACTGAGAACTGTCATTTCTAACAATAATGTGCCTCTATGTTAACATTTTTGTGAGCAGAAATCTTGGCTAGCCTCAGGGCCATACAAATGCTCTTTTAACAAAGTCTCAATAATTTTCCAATAGGTTTAAAAATTGTACTATGTCACCTTGCTTGTGAACAAAGAGACAATATGTTTTCTATAGGTCTTGTCATTTGATAGTTTAAGCCAATTAACAAAACCTGACAGCTGGTCTAGAATTTGAGGTAAAATTCCCCTGCTGACTCAGGCAGTGAATAAGAATTTAATGTTCATTAAAATATGTCACAATCTGAGACCCAAAACAGGTACCATCTGTCACCAGTTTTCACTACATGTCTAGGTATAGATAAACTGTGCTAAAAACTCTCTTTTCTTTACAATAAGTATAATTTGTTTTGAAATACTATCACTAATAACCCACAGGATTGTCTCCTCCTTACCGTTGGGGTGGGAGGTGGGGATTATGACATTTAATTTGCTCTAGATCTTTGGGATTAGTGTCCAAATCATGTAGATCTCTTATTTTATATAATCAAAACTGATTTAAGTTTTAAACTGATTTGGCGTCAGGAATAAAAAATGAAGGGAAACAAGAAACAGTAGCTTTTATGATGTGAATTATAAGACTTGTAGAATCATGTAAATTATCATGGGAAGATCTGAGTCAAGAAGAAATCTGTTCCTGAGTAAGTGTCTTGCTGCTGCGGGGACTGTTGGTGTTTGCCAGGTAAAGACAGCTCTGGGGAAGCAGGGTGATCCAAGAGAGTATGCCATATAAGGGCTACAGAAGTACTTGGGAATTGAAGATACTCTTAAATGGCTGTGGGATCAAAGGACATGGATGAATTGCTTATGGTAACTGAGCAAGTTCCTGTTGACAGTGCTGTTTGACTTGCTACCTTTACCTCAACTGCTGGGATGGCCACTCAGACAGAAGCAATGCTTCTCAAAATGTGTTCCCCCAACCAGCAGCATCAGTATCAAGGAAATTTGTTAGGAATGCACATTGTTAGGTCATCTTCAGACCAATGATTTAGAAACTCTGGAAGTAGAGCCTAGTCATCTGCATTCTAACAAGCCTTTCAGGTAATTCTGGTGTTCTTTCAAGATGAGAACCTCTGTAATAGATCAACCTCCCAAAGTACAATTGGTGATTAGAATGAATTGGAGTACATCTTACATATAGATAAGTAACTACACATAATATAGGTGCAAAACTCAATTTTGACAATATAGGAGAAATTGTCTTGGCATTATTCTCTTATGCATATTGCTGATGAGAGTGAGGTGAAGGTTTCCTGGGCCTTTCGTAATGATGCATTATCTTTTCACTTCAAATCATCTTGAACAGCTTATCTGTCTCTTCTCCGTATCCACTGCTCACCCAGTCTGATTTATTGACTGTATCTTCCTGCCTACCTTGGAGGTAGGTCCACATGCCTGGCTTCTATAAAAATAAAATATATTTCTTCTTTTACTATCCCCGCTGGCCTTTGCTTTGTACACATTTTCTAGATCTTCCTTTTGCCACCTGAATTTTCTAGAGCACTATGGGTCTCTGGCACTCATAGACCTATGGTTAATTATTGATATGTAGAAATACATATTTTATGCAATCATTAGTAACAAATCATAGTTATTTAATATGCACAAGTAAGACCTAAGCTTAAAAGAGTCAGCATCAATGGATAGACAGGACAAGGTAATTCTAATGAATTCTATGATCTAATGTGTCTGGCACCATCATGGAGTTTCTTTCTTTTCCTCCCTCTGTTAATCCTGGGGGAGTTCTTCTGGAACCAGGAAATGACTACTGAAAGATAGAAAGAGAGAGAGAAATTGGGACCAAATAACTATGCTGCCATCATCATTTTTGAAACGCATATCTAAAATTTATTAGGTAGAAGTCTGGGTTCAGTGTTTTTGTCATATAGACATATAAAAATTCATTTATTCAGTAATCACACAATGTAATTATAACATTGGTTTTACTTTACCTTGAGTGCACTTTTCTTAATTGGATTTTTTTTTTCTTTTTTGAGACGGAGTCTCGCTCTGTTGCCCAGGCTGGAATGCAGTGGTACGATCTTGCCTCAGGGCAACCTCTACCTCCCTGGTTCAAGCGATTCTCTTGCCTCAGCCTCCTGAGTAGCTGGGACTACAGGCATGCACTAACATGCCCAGCTAATTTTTGTATTTTTAGTAGAGACAGGGTTTCTCTATGTTGGCCAGGCTGGTCTCAAACTCCTGACCTCGTGATCTGCCCGCCTCAGCCTCCGAAAGTGCTGAGATTATAGGTGTGAGCCACCACCTCTAATTTTGTTTTTAATGGTGACTTTCACTTTCATTTTTGTAATGCTTACCAAATGTTTCTTCATTTGACTTAATATTAAAACAGGAGGCTTACAACACTCCTGTTCTGACATGTTTCCAGATCATTACATACTTTGTTTAAATAATGGGTAGACCCTTTAGCCTTACACATATGGCTATTTAAAATAGTTTCTTACGGTCTGAGAAAGTAAGCCAAAGAGGATTGTACTTACATAATTTTTTTATTTTTAAATTTGTGTCTTTCTTTATATTGTGCCTCTTTCTGTAGTTAAAAAAAAAAAAAAAGGAAAATGACACTGTATAATGTAACTGGAAGAATATACATTGAAATTGAAATTCAAATATGGCTCTCAGCTTGGGACAGGTAGCATAAACCTTTGTTCTAGTACTAATGCAAATATTCACTTAAATTTAATGAAAAGCTAACATGTGAATTAAATAAAATGAATATGCAAAACCTATCTATTGGGCCGGTACAGTGGCTCATGTCTGTAATCCCAGCACTTTGGGAGGCCAAGGCGGGTGGATCACTTGAGGTCAGGAGTTTGAGACCAGTCAGGCCAACATGGTGAGACCCCTGTCTCTACTAAAAATATGAAAAATTAACTGGGCGTAGTGGCATGTGCCTGTAATGCCAGCTACTCACGAGACTGACATAGGAGAATTGCTTGAACCTGGGAGACAGAGGCTACAGTGAGCTGAGATCATACCACTGCACTCCAGCCTGCCCAACAGAGTGAGACTCCCCCAACTCAAAAAAAAAAAAAAAAAAAAAAAAAGGCACCTATCTATTGCTAAACCCCCACACCATGAGTTTTATTGTGATATGAATTCAATGTATAATATCTTAATTTGTATTTTGGTCTATTACATTCTTTGAAGCTCAGAAAAATACTGAAGTCATTGTTAAGGAAAAATTAGTAATGAAATTTAAATTTCACTTTATTTCCCCTTAAAAATGGCATGAAGACTGAACTATAACATACACCAGGTGAAGCAGATTCTGAGTAAAAGACAAACTAATTGGAGGAGACACTAGAGTATTCTGCAGTTCTGAGCTATCAATGCTGGTGGCGTGCCAAAATGGACTACTTAGATTGTCCTTTTCAGGAAGGTGTATTGACTGCTCTAGGTTGGGGGCACTTTGGTTCATGAGTAATTGGTGCATCTGTTTCATGACAATTTCTATGCTGTATGTTATGTTAGCTCTTAAATAAACTTGGATTTGTTTCGGAAAGACAGGTATCACGGTTTATATTCATTGTATTTGCTGCCAAATATGGGGTTGTTAAGTGACTGTAAGATAATTTTCTCCTTTATTTCTCTTCCTTCTTCTTTTTTGTTTACAAATTAAGTCGGGGAGTAATGTTTAGTACCCAGGAATTGAATTTCTCCGTGTGCCAGGCAACGTTACTGAGTCAAGTAAAAAAAACTGCCCTTATTTACTGATTTCATATAAACCACTTATTCCTTTCAAATCAACCATAGGGAGTTTGTAACCCTCCACAGTTCACAGGAACTTTGGAAACATAAATGGCATAAAAACTGTTTCATAAGACACCTAAGTATTTACAAAATCTGAAAAGAGATGCTGAAGGATTTATGTCATGCCCAGCGACTCAGTTCTTTTACTTAATGGGCTCTGCAATTAGTTTTAAAAAATAATTACTCAAATAACCAGATGTTAATTGATTAATGGATGCTATGAAAATTTTAAGGTCAGTAAATCACATAATGAGATTTTTATCTCCAAATGATGAACAGAATGTTAAAATGGTGGAAACAATAATATTGTAATTTTATCCAAATAATCATAGCATTTCAGAATGGCAAGCTTCCTTAGCCATTCTCATTTTCTCAACTCACTAGCTTTTCTTCAGTACTCCTGGTACCTGATTGTCAGTTTTCGTTTGAATTCTGTCAGGAATTAACGGGAAATCCAAAAGCCATGCCTTCCAAATTCCACATGTTGATCTCTGTTTTGCCTTTTGAAGCAATATTACCTTTTCACTTAGATGTTCTTCAAATATTTTAAGGTAGCTCTTAATTGCCTCTAGTAGGTCTTTATTCTACATCTGACTTTCTTTTCTCTTCAAACTTCTTGGGAAAATTAGATAGATTATAACTTTCTACCTATATTTTTCTGAACGTTTGATCCTTTGCAGGCACGATTGAAATATTTTCTTATCTGTACAAATGAGCAAATACATGCAAAAGCAGATTGAACTATAGTGGTGTATAAAATGTAACCCAGGTTTATTCTGTGATCTTTCTTGTTTTAACAGGTTTTAAAAGCAGATCTAGAAAAGAAAAAGCAATCCATGGACAAACTTTATTCACTCAAACAAGATCTTCTTTCAACACTGAAGAATAAGTCAGTGACCCAAAAGATGGAAGCATGGCTGGAAAACTTTGCCCGGTGTTGGGATAATTTACTCCAAAAACTTGAAAAAAGTACGGCACAGGTTAGTGATACCAATTATGCTACAGAAGATCTCAGAGATTTTTTAAACCTGTATTAAGAGAGTAACATTATAACCCTACAAAAGAAGCAACCAGATTAGTTTTTACCCTGTGTTTAGTTAAATAAAAACATGATTCTTTTGCCTGTCTTCTTGTTGGAGAATGGTGAGGAGGAAGAGTGCTAATTAACTGAACTTGTTACTGCCCCAGAGTGAATTTCTTCCAGCCCAATAGTAATGGGGAACTGAGTGACTTAGAGCAGGTGAACAAAATGCTGGGAAACTGTATCATCACCATCTAACCCCAAACCAGACATTGCTGGAACCACTAGGACCATTAGCCAACTCCATTTTACTCCTGAAAAAAATAAAACTTAGGGAAGAAAAGTAAATGTTTCAAGACAAGTTAGTGGTAGGAGGACTAGGGTTCAGGTCCTTTGATTTCTTGGAAAGTTTGTTATTAGTGCAGTTAATTATCTGGCTGTTGTACCTTTTCTGCCATAGACTGCTGATTTCATAAAATCATGAATGTGCCTTAGTTATACTAACACATATGGGCTGTAGATTATGAAAACATCTCAGCTACATTTGGGGTATGTGGTTTTATTATAATAATTTTTAAAAATTTAATCACTAAAATGGGGTATTGTTAAAAGGTGAACCTCTTCTTGTCTTATATAATTGGATGGTAGAATAATGAGTAGTCATCCAAGATATAAACATGATATATAATAGTATTTAACATATTCTGCCACATAGTCTGGCATTATAAGGAATAACTTTAATCACAATTCATAGCTCAATGCACATGCATACACTTCCATATTCAATAGATTTTAGGCATATACTTCCTCTATTGTGAGACAAGCACACGAAATTTGTTTTCTTGAGAATTGACATCTGATAAGTAGCACTTAGGAAATGCCTTTTGAAGACATGAAGTTTGTAGTATTGCCTCCAGGAATAAAATTTAAGACAGCATAATAAACCAGCCTATATGATGTTCAATCACAGTTCAATGTTACTTTTAATTCAATTTGATATTTAAAAAAATAATTTGAAGAAATATGAATATAAATTGTAATAATTTCCCACACAATCATTAGATAATAAAAACTCCATTTGTTTTCCATTAAACATACTTTAGCAATTAATTGATCTAATAGTAATTTTACTACTGTATTGTCATTCCTCAAATTTTATGTGATCTGCCCATGGCTGCTTTAAAATACGTTGGTATTTATGTAATAAATACATAAGACATTAGTCAATTTGATACTTTTTAACCCGACGTTAACATTATTCCCATATGTACCCATTACTTCTGTAGATTATTGCTGCCATAGAATGGTCAGTTGCCATGTTAAGAAAGATTGTCATTATTTGATAAAGAAAGTTATTTTGACATGCATCCTTTTTAAGGGATATGTTTATGGAGCTGTAACAGTTAACCACAGGTCGTGTTCTAGTTCATTTGCATTGCATGCAGTGGTTCTCAAACTTGAGTCTGCATAGTAGCCACCTGAGGAGCTAATTAAAATGCATATTCCTAAACACTTTGCTCAGAAAATCTCATCCATAAGCTATGATAAGGACCTAAAACTCTACATCTTTACATGAAATTAAGTCCAACATGCATTATAGCATATATCTCTTCACTTGCTCATAGGGATACAATGAAGATAAAATGGACGCATAGACATGAAAGCATTTGAGGGGAAAATGGTTGAGCTTGATATGTAAGTCATGTAGTTAGTCTGGAGGGCTTTTTGTGGTTCACTGTTTGCTTTTTTTTTTTTTTTTTTTTTTTTTTTTTTTTTTTGAGATGGAGTCTCACTGTGTCGCCCAGGCTGGAGTGCAGTGGCGCAGTCTCAGCTCCGCCTCCCAGGTTCACACCATCCTCCTGCCTCAGCCTCCCAAGTAGCTGGGACTATAGGCGCCCGCCACCACGCCTGGCTAATTTTTTTGTATTTTTAGTAGAGACAGGGTTTCACCATGTTGTCCAGGATGGTCTCAATCTCCTGACCTTGTGATCCTCTCACTTCGGCCTCCCAAAGTGCTGAGATTACAGGCGTGAACCACCACACCGGGCCCACTATCTGCTTTTAATTTTATTTTCAGTTACATGCTCCTATTGTGGGCTAGAAACAAATAAAAGGACTTAACATCATGTAAGTTGTTTTCCAGAACACTAAGCTTGAGTCTTTCTTAAACTCATATTTCAGTTTTCTCTCATTGCCTTTCCAAAAATTATGCTGTCATAGGATCGATCCAAATCTTTACTGGTTGTTTTTGAGCTCACAGGAAGATAGAAATGGAGCTACCCAGGAAAAGAGAAATTAAAAGCAGGTAAAGAGAGACAGCAGAGAAATAGTGTCATATAAGAGCAACTAATTTTCTTTTATCTGTGTCAAATTGACCTTGATCAAAATTACATAAGAATTCCAAGAATATGGGCTGTAAGGTTGTGACTTTGAAGAACAAAGCTCACTTGTATGTGCATTTTCTATAATGATTGTGGGAGAAAAATCAGTTTCATTAATGACTATTCACATGATACACTCAATTGTTTCAAAAATTATTTTAAAAAATTAGTGTAAAGAATGAGCAAAGTTCTTATAATGGTTAAAACCTATTGTGAGGCAGGGTATGGAAATCATGATGGAGATGACAAGGCATCCAATTGTACTCATATAAAGAACACTGCTTGTGCGTATGATTGCTATTCAGGTCAAAGCTTGGAGGCATTTTTGACCCTATGAAGCTGTCGCATGGCAAGAGATCAAAACGTGAAAAAAATAATCAGCTGGGAGGGCTGCTATCTTGCATTTCAAACTCAGATTTGACTTGAATAATACCTGGACACAAGTATGAGGGTATTTAAGTTGATTAGAAGGTAGCCTAAGAAGATAGAAAATACTTTGTTTCTAAATGTTGGAGAGAATGACTCTTGCTATGTGGAGGCTTACAATGAGAAAAGAGGGCAAATATACCCTGGATTGACTTCTTTAAAAACTCAAATGATCCTGTTTCCCAGTAATTTTTCATAAATATACTTGTTACAATTTGCACAGTTTTTTTCTAGTTGCCTTAACCCTGATCGATATATATTTTATCTTGATCATAATTATGAAATATGATAGTGACGAATTCCATCAACATTTGCTTGTCTGAAAAGGATTTTATTTCTCCTTCACTTATGAAGCTTACTTTGTCTGGATATGAAATTCTGCCTTGGAAATTCTTTTCTTTCACAGTGTTGAATATTAGTCCCCAATCTCTACTGGCTTGTAGAGTTTCTGCTGAGAGATCTGCTGTTAATCTGATGGACTTCCCTTTGTAGGTGACCTGGCCTTTCTCTCTGGCTGCTCTTAACTTGTTTTCTTTCATTTCAACCCTGGAGAATTTTATGATTATGTATCTTGGGGTTGGTCTTCTCAGTGAGTATCTTGCATTTCTTGAATTTGAATATTGGGCTGGCTTTCTAGGTTGGGGAAGTTCTCCTGGATGATATCCTGAAGTATGATTCCCAACTTGGTTCTGTTCTCCCCATCTCTTTCAGGTACCCCAAACAGTCTTTGCTTCAGAATTTACATAATCCCACATTTCTCAGAGGTTTTGTGCATTCATTTTTACTCGTTTTTTCCCTCTAATCTTGTCTACCTGTCTTATTTCAGCAAGATAGTCTTCAGGCTCTGAGATTCTTTCCTCTGCTTGGTCTATTCAGGTACTGACACTGTGATTGCATTCTGGAGTTCTCGTATTGCGTTTCTCATCTCCATCAGGTCATTTATGTTCCTCTGTAAACTGGTTATTCTGGTTATCAGCTCCTGTTATGTTTTATCATGGTCGTTAACTTCTTTGCATTGGGTTAGAACATTTTCCTCTAGCTCAGGGAAGTTCATTATTATCCCCCTTTGAAGCCTACTTCTCTCAATTCATCCATCTCAGCCTCAGCCCATCATCTCATTCCAGTCAGAATGGTGATTATTAAAGTCAAGAAACAACAGATGCTGACAGGGTTGCAGAGAAATGGGAATGCTTTTACACTGTTGGTGTGAATGTAAATTAGTTTAACCATTGTGGAAGACAGTGTGGCGATTCCTCAAAGAACTAGAACCAGAAATACCCAGCAAGGCCTTGACTGGGTATATACCCAAAGGAATATAAATCATCCCATTATAAAGATACATGTGTTTGTATGTTCATTGCAGCACTATTCACGATAGCAAAGATATAGAATCAACCCAAATGCCCATCAATGATAGACTGGGTAAAGAAAATGTGGTATATATACACCTTGGAATAGTATGCAGCCATAAAAAGGAATGAGATTTTGTCCTTTGCAGGGACATGGATGGAGCTGGAAACTGTTATTCTCAGCAAACTCATGTGGAAACAGAAAACCAAACGCTGCGTGTTCTGACTCATAAGTGGGAACTGGACAATGGAAACACATGGGCATGGGGAAGAGAACAACACACAGTGGGGCCTGTTGGTGGGAGAGGAGGAGAGCGTCAGGAAAAACAGCTAATGGATGCTGTGCTCAATATCTATGTGATGGGTCGGTAGGTACAGCATACCACCATGGCACACATTTACCTTCGTAACAAACCTGCACATCCAGTACATGTACCCTGGAACTTAATAAATGTGATAGTAAGAAATGTATTATAATTAATATTTTAAAATAGAATTTATGTGATTTGAAGCATTACTTTCCTCGTTTGACCGAAATCAGATGTGCTGTTGAAAGGGTATATTATTCATATGCTTTACAATTTGATATGGTAATTGTAAGTACCATGTTATACCATAAATTATAATTACCATATTTAATATATAATTTACATTAAGTATTATACACCATACACTGGCTGCTTTGGCGTAAGCATATATTTTTTTTTTCAGGCGAGTCTAAAGGTTTTGTAGTTTTGTGAATTTTTAGTACAGTAAATTGTCTTAGGGATAAGGAAAGTTGTATGACTTATTAAGGTTCAAAT